CCAAGCAGGTGCCTAGCTGGGTATGTCAGGGGCCCTTGCTTTCCTGGGTTGGCTCTGGTCCATGTGCCTTCCTTCTCCTCTGTTGATGCAGCCTCCAAGTACACCAAGGTGGAGCAGCTGAGCCTCCGGGAGCGACTGGCCCGCATCAACACACACACCCTCTCCAAGAAGACCACCCGGCTGAGCCAGCTGCTGAAGCAGGAGGCAGGGCTCGTATCCAAGGTGAGCACGGGTGGGAGGAAGGGTACCGTCCCAACCATCCCAAGGGACAAGACTGTGCAGTGGTGGGGCAGGGGTCTTAGACTCCCTTCAGAGATGAGGAAACGGAGGCTGAGGGAGTGAACTTCCCAGCATTGCGTAGCCAGGAAGAGGCAGAGTTGGCACCCCCACTTAATTCTGAAGAGACAGGGTAGGGCTTTCTCCACTGCATCTTGTGTTGCTCTTTCTCTGGGGCCTGTTTATATAGATCAGGGAGCTAATATCTGAGTCTGGGCAAGAAACCAGCCTTGAACAGCTTCTAGTAGCAGCTCAGGTTGACTGTGTACTTTCTCTGAACCAGGCATTAATTGATCCACACAGTGAAGTAGGTATTCATATTATCCTCATGTTGCAGAGGAGGAAACATGCTCAGAAAAGGTAAAACCCTTGCCTAAGTTCACACAGCCAGGAAGTAAGTGAACCAGGACTCATAGGCTCAAGTGTCTTATTCCATGGTCTGAATGCAGCATCACTAAGCTGCACTCACTGCTTCTAATCATCCCACTCGGTTTTGGGTCTAGAGGAACTGCCTCTGAAGGATGAGTCTGTGGAAAGGTGGTCCCCACTGAGGATTTGCAACAGGGGTATGGGGTGTACACTGCCCCCATTTGGATGTTCTCAGCCTTCACAAGCATAACTTCATTCTCAGACAGAAGACAAGGAATTTGATGACTTAGAAGAGAGGTTCCACTGGGTGTCGCTCTGTGTGACTGAGCTGAAGAACAACGTGGCTGCTTACCTAGATAACCTGGAGGTGAGGATCCTGTGGTTAATAATGGGTGGGGCGGGGCTGAGCTTCACGGGCAGGAGGCATGCAGGGCCCATTGAACAAACTAATAAAGGCACCAGTTGCAAAAACCTAAAGGAAGATCATCCAGTTGCTTGCCTCAGGCCAGAAGAGGGGCCACATGCAAGCACCCCTCAGCTTACAGGTCATCTGACTGGGGCAACTTCTGAGCCCGTTGAGTTCTCAGAGGGTGAGGTTCCCACTGGGCAGGGTCAAAATTCACTGGAATCAGAGCCCTCTGGAGGGATGCTCTTAGACCAGGGTGACAAACTTGGGTGCTCAAAGGGACCAGGCAGGTAATATTATTGAGTAAAGTGTGCAAGTATACAAAACTTAACATCTGTTTATGAGACTTTTTTGGTAGAGTTCAATATATGGTAATATTTGGAGTTTGAATGACCAAATGAACGAATGAATGAGTAAAATCTAAGGAGGCAGCTCTTCCTTGGCTCAGGGGAGTTGTTGCTGTGTGGGAATGTGAACCCACTGCAGCCAGTCCTTCTGATTTTAAGGAAAAAAGAAAACTAACAATTTTAGGTGAAATCTCATGATGTGACCACGTGAGCAATTAATTAAATAAAAATTTAAATGTTATGCAGGCCTAAGAAAATATATTTCTGCAAGCCAAATTCAGCCCACAGAGACACTAGTTTGCATTTCCATCCAGCACATCTCTCTCCTTACGCCAAAATTCCCCCTTCATTCTTGTCAGCATTGCTGACTCATTCCAACCGCTTAATCCCTCTTACGTGGTTTTGTTCTCAGTCACATCCATTTGCGCAAAGCAGCTCAGTCAGGTCATAGAAGGCTCTTTGGGTAATAGGATTTGGGGTGGCGTTATTGGAAGTATGTGAAAGGAGGGAGATCATAGTTACGTGGCCTCTGTGTGAGGCACATCTCTTGCTTGTTCCGGCTCATCCTGGACCCCCCAAGTGGAAAGATATGAACAGCACAGTGAGCCAGAAGGGGAAGACCCTCAGAGAAAGAATGGAGGGGCCTTGAGAGAGAGAGAGAAACCAGAGGCCCATGAGAGAAACATCTGGCTTTGCAGAGGAAAACAGATATTTGGAAGCATTAAGGCTGCGTTTCCTTAAATGCAGGATTTACACGACAGGTACAGTGTTGACATGGAATCCCATAGTGAGCAAATGACTCTCTCTTTTAATCCTCAGAGTCCAGGAAAAGCCTCTTTGGCTGGCATGTCTATAACAATCAGGCTGAGCAAGTCTTGGGCTGGGAGCCTGTAGCAGGCTATGATGCCCAGTCAGAGCTTAATAACATTGTTTTTATAGCAATTATTCTTACATGCTTATTTATGACAATTATTACTGGTTTTCCCTTTATGGGAGTACCATAAGATTTTTTTTTAAATGCATTGATTTAAATAGGAATGCTTAGTTGATTTAAGAAAAAGTATCAATAGAACACATGGAATATGGATGTGGCAAAACATCACCAAGGGGGTATGCAGATGTACGAAGTTGGGAGAGCATTGGAATAGAGAGAAAGATGTTGGCTCAGTGTAAGGGAGAACTTTCTGATCAGCCAAGTTGTGCAAGGTTAGAATCGATTGTGCAGATGCATAGTGGAGGTATGCAGGCAGCCTGGGCAACCTCTCCTGGGCTGTGGTGGAGGGGGATTCAGGTGTGAGATGACCACGACGCGCTGTGATTGGCTGTCTCGTTTGACCCCATCCAGGCTTTCCTCCGCTTCCGGCCTCAGGAATATGATTTGGACATTCCTGGGGCCCCTGTGGTGCAGTACCGTTACCTGGCAAGAGACCTGCAGCTCCAGGCCTTCCCCGACTTTGTGAGTGGAACTTCTCCTTCCTTTGTTAGGCAGGTGGCCAATCCCGTAAGAATAATATTTAGAAGTCAGGCTGTTTCCATGATTGTCACATCCATAACGGCTCTGGGCAGTCAGCAGGGCAGAGATTATTATTAGTGTGTTTTACTGATAGAAATAGCCCCAACTAACATTTATTGAGCCTTGCTATTGGCCAGGCACTGTGTTAAACTCTTTACATTCTTTACCTCATTTAATCCTCACAATCCAGCGTACAGGGTATGTGCTGTTAGTAGCCCCATTCTGCAGATGAGAGCTTGAGACTCAGAGGGGGCGACCTTCCTAGATTTTCAGATGGTCAGTAGGAAGCTGGGATCTAAGCCACAAGGACTATGCTTTTGACCACCACTCCATAAAAATCTTTTTTAAGGTTTGTGCACAGTAACCATATTAAGAAGTGACACTTCTGTAAGCTTGTTACATACATTGGCCCCATTTTTCAGATGGGCATGTCGAGGCCCAGAAAGATTAGGTAATATGCTAGAGGTCACAGCTGGTCTGTAGGAGTGGGACTGGAGCCCAGTCCTGCCTACCTCCAAAGCCCCTTCTCCCTGTGCTGCCCTCTGCCACCTCTTTCCCCTACTCCCAAGCTCACCTCTCCCCACAGAAGCAGCGTCTGGAAGGTCTGGTGTGGCAGCCACTATGCAGCCTGACCAAAACCCTGGCTGGCCCTCAGAACCTGATCAAGAAGCGTCTGGACAAACTATTGGACTTTGAGAGGGTGGAAGAGAAGCTGCTGGAGGTGGGCAGCATGACCTACGAGGAGGAGATGGCCCGGCACACGTACCAGGCCCTCAACTCCCTGCTGGTGGCCGAGCTCCCACAGTTTAACCAGCTGGCCATGCAGTGGCTGGGCCAGATCCTGTGCACATTTGTGACCCTCCAGAGGGACCTTGCAGAGCAAGTGCTACAGAGGGCAGAGGGCACCTTGGCCCAGGTGAGTACTCTGGGACTGGGGCAACTCCGGGGAATAGCCAGGGGAGGCCTCACAGCACCTTCAGCCAGATGTTTGCATGGGCTGGAATGGGGTGAGGTTTGGGCCTTTCAAACAGGTGCTTTGGAGGAGGCTATGGGGACCTTCTGGAACTTTCTCCTCCCTGTTCTCCCTCCATTAATGGATAAGACCATGAAAGCAAGGATAGAACTGCGACTCCAGACTTTCCCAGGCTCTGGACCTCAGAAGCAGAGGAGGCTCTGCTCGGAAAATAGCAGACCTTGCGGCCAGTCCCCAGAATGTATGAGAGGTTGGTGACAGAGACAGGGTCTCTTCTACACATCAGGAGTAATTGTTTCAAGCTGGTGTTCCTGCCACTGTTACTAATTGTAGTAGCTGCCTCCTTGTGAACATTTACTGTGCTCTGGTAAGTGTATTTACTGAGTACCTTCCATGTATTATCTCACTTAATCCTCACAGTAATCCTACAGAGGAGGTGTTATTGTTATCCTCATTTCAAAAGGAAGCTGAGGGCACAGAGAGGTTAAGCAGCTTGTTCAAGGCCACACAGCTAGTAGTGCAATTTGAATCATGGCAGTTCAACTCCAGAGCCTGGGTTCTGAACCGTAATTCCTGTAAGAGGAGCCGTCTGCTGAAAGCATAAATAGGTCACAATGAGGTTTAGACAAACCTCCAAATGCAAACTTTGATTTTAGAATTTTGAAGACTGGGGTTAGTATAGGAAAGAGTACTTAGTTAACTGCTTTTAAAACTGTCTCTGATGTTGATACCAGAGCTAAATGGCCTGTGAGTCTCAGCCCTAGAGCAATTTCAGTATTCCTCATACTGCATGCTGTCTCCTGTGCTTCCCATTTCCCAGCTCAACTTTCCCCATCCAGTTTGTTTCATGAAAATTCCTCCAAAATTTACCCCACTGTCACTGCCTTTCCAGCCCATAGTCCCGCTCTATGACTGTAGCCTCAACTTCCAGCCCAGTGCTTCTGAATGTGACCACAGTCCCTTTGCACAGACTCCTTCCTCGGCCTAGAATGCCCCTCCCTGTCACCCCCATGCCTTTCACACTGCCTGGCATAAGGTAAGACTTCCACAAATATGCGACAGATGAACGAGTCTCTCCATGAAGCTCTCAGAATCCCTCCTCCCCTGATGGGGAGAACCCATCTCACCATCCTCTGTTCCAGCAACATTTATCAGAGACTTCCTCCTGCTGGGATGTTGGATGAAGCTGTTTCCCTTCTTTGAGGAGAGCCAGAACTATGGGCTTTTCTTCCTTTTGGCCCTCACAACATTTAGTACAGAGTTCTGTCTCAGACACTCTTTTTGAATGAAGCCTGAACCACCTGCACTTCTCTTTCCTGAAGGCAGAGGGTAAATCTGATTAGATGATCTTTTCATTCTCCTCCTACCTTCTAGTGCTGTCTGCAGGGTGGCCAGACCTCCTTGTGTATTGACTGAGACATGCAGGGCCGGGGAGTGTTCTAGGATGCAGTAACGGGGGGGGGGGTAACGTTTATAAGAACAGAAAGAGGGTATTTCTTGGTTGGTCCTATATACAGAATGTTAGGGCCTGTCAATGACTGATGCCAGCTTCCTTGTCAGTGTTCCCTTGCCCATTCAGCTGGACCAGTCCTGTGGAGCCTGGGAAAGGCCAACATAGTAGAACTCAATCTGTCTGCATCCTGTGGATGGGGGAAAGGCGCTAAGTTAGAACCAAGAGCTGCGACTTTGCTGACAATCAGAGAGGACATGTCTCTGTTGGCTCTGGGGCCTTCCTTACTCCAAGGCTGTCTGATGGGAATACAGAAGACGCCTAACAGAGCCAAGGTCTCAGGATGGAGCATCACTCAGAACTCCTCAGGTTCCAGACCAGCTTAGACATAAAGAAGAACATACTGACTTCATAACTGGAAGGGTTACCAGGAGGGTGTCAAGTCAGGCCTGGTTGCATTCAGTACAAACAGTGTTTTCGGGGGACTGACTTTCACTCCATCTCCCAGCTGTTTTCCTCTCCAGGTTAGCTTTATTGTCAAGGAGGCCTTTTCTGCATGGTGGGAGAAGGCGGCTCCCAACAGCTCCAAGTATGTACCGTTACATCTCAGAATCTAAAGGAAGAGTCACCCTCTTGTTCTCAGCTTTCATGCACTAAATCTCATAGGAGGATTTCAACTGGCCTTGCTTGGGTCCATTGTCCAGTCCCTGACCAATCACAGTGGATAGGAGAGGGGATGCCCTGATGGCCAGTCCTGTGGCCAGATCACCAGGAGGGGCAATACCACTGGACCCCCATAGAGGGACACTTTCTTAAAGGAAAGTGGGGCAGTAGCCAGTCTGAAACAACAGATAATCAAATAACATCCTAACACATCTGGGGCTAGAGTGTGGCTGTCAGCATCTCCCTGTCCCCTCTCTCCCCTCACCCAAGGAAAGCTCTGATGACATTGTCTGTCCCCACACAGCTGCCCCACCACCACATGGCTGAGCCAGCCTTCAGGAAGCTGGTGGAGGATGCACTGGGCCAGGCTGGTCACCAGCTTCGTTCCTTTCAAGAGAACTTCGAGAAGGTGCTGCCACCTCCTACCACACAAGTAAGTGTCTCTCACCTGCCAGTAGGGGTAAGGTCAACACCCTATTTCCTTTCCCTTTTCTTTTCCCAGTGTTCCCTGTTACTCCGGGAACATGTTGCCTTTCTGTCTGTCTTTCCTCTGTGAGCTGGGGGTGGGGTTCACACACACACGCATGCATGCACGCACGTGCTCTTCATGGCCAGTAAGCATAAGAGCAGAACAGAAGGTTTAGGTCAAGAATAAGAAATTTTAATATTAAGTAAAAGCAGACATGATAATGGATGAGTGCCATTAACATCCTGAAACCTGGAACTTCTTCAAATTTTTCTTCAAAATTTACCTTGTTTTCTCATCACCTTCTCATAGAACCTGCACTCAGAATGAATAAAAAGTTTGAATAAGAAGTCATATAAGTGTTCTTTTTGCTATGGAATTTTTAATTGCAAAAGACAGTATTTTAGCTGTGTTATGGTTTACAAAACTTTGGCCGTCCAAAGGCTTTTTTTTCAGCCAAGTATTTTTGTCTAAAATTGCGGTCCACTTGAAGAATATATAGACGATCATGTATATTTTTTAAAGTAACTGAAGTAGATGAAGGGAGAAGGAGTTCCCAGAGTATGATGAAAACTCAGTTTGAGAAAACTGAACCTGTGTGTTCAGTCGCATGTGAGATGTGAAGTGAAGGGTCCGGAGAAAGCTCCAAGAGTCCCCAGAAGGGAGAAGGGGGCCCCAGAGACACAGACGAACAGAAAAGGAGCCCGGCAGAGCTGGGCAGATACGGTGGGCTTCGCACCTGAGCTGAGTGCAGAGGACGTCAGAGACCATTAAAGATGTTGTGAGCTCCAAGCGGAGGTGGAGTCCCCCTGGGGCCACCGCTGTCCCCACTTGCTTGCCCACGCTGAGACGCCTCCGCAGAGGACTGATCGGGGCTGCCGCACAGGCCCTGCAGCTTGGGGAGAGGAAAGGTGCAGAAAAGGAAGAACAGAGCGGCCGCTCAAATGAGTCATAGAAACGCTTATCTTTTTCTGCTTAAGACAAAATAGCATTTCTCTTATTGGAAAAGCACTCCATGCCCAACTGTAGAAAAAGAGAGAAGATGCAGAAAAATAAGAACAAGAAACAAGTGGGAACATCACAGTCCCAGTGTGCGTTGCAGATTGATAGGAAAAGAGACCCGCCTCGTCCCCTTCTCCCCTCCCACCCACCGCGGTAACACACACACCTATAAATTTCTGAGTTATTTGGCTAAGGGTGCAGAACCCACAGAAGTGAGGTGACCACCCAGGACAGGAGCAGTCCCAGTGAGATCTTTACAGGCCTCCTCCGGTCCCCCCCAGGGAGTGCTGCTGTTCTCTGCACAGGTAGGGGCAGAGATTTGAGAAAGAAGGCAAGTGTTTGCTACTCATGTTAACATCACCATTCTGGAAAAAAAAAAAAACTACCCTGTCTCTACACTTCCATTGAAGGGCCTGTTTGGGAACCTTGGGTTCTTCTGGTCTTTGATCCTGACTCCGGAATCCATTGGAGGAGGGGTAATGGCAGAGTCTGGGCCCAAATGCCCCTGAAAAGCATCTCTGCCTACCTCCCTACACTCAGCACCTCCCCACCCGGAAATAACCATATAGAACATGGTGAATATATATATGTCCATAGGTATCTATACAGTGAGAGAAAATATGTAATAAATCTATATTCAACATTTTTAGTTTCTTCTTTGCTTTTCAAAAAGGGGACAATCATCTGAGTCCCTTCTTGTTGATACTTTTGCTGGAAGCAGTGAATGAAAAAACAAAGGCAATGCCAGGAGATTTTTGGATGCGCTGAACGTGCACTGAATCATTCTCCCCAGCTAGGTGGCAATTTCCATCAGGGAAAGACTCTCTCCTCTGTTTCTGCTGTGCCATTCACAAAGCTTACTGTGCCTCGTGCACAGTAGGGTCTCAATAAATACCTACAAACTCAAAACCCATGGAATAAAAGACTGCATTCCCTTTGTTCACATGTGTGTGCTGGCGGTTTAAGATGCCAGGTGAGTAAGGCCTGGTGCCCACATGAACCTCATAGTCTTGCTCATTGGGGTTGAAAGACATGTGTAAGGCATTTTTCTGTGGGACTGCTTAGTTTGATGCCCTGGGCAGAGTTTAGGGCTCAGTCCTGGAGTTCTGTAACTGAGAAGTTCAGAAGCTGAATTAGAATTTTAGAAAACCCCAGAAGTTTAGACCAGGGAGGTATTTTAGAGGTTAAATTAGACATTTCTTTCGAGATGCATTTGGGTATTAAGAGCATTGTTTTTCATCCAGTCCAGCCATCTGTTAGTGAGGAGACTGTTGCCCCACTGGGGATGGGCTGATTGGCGGCAGAGGTGGGGTTCCTGGCTGTGAGCACGTGGGCCAACATTGACACCAGCTTTGACATGCCAGCTCAAACACTCGTGTCCGTCTCTCCCAGCCACTCCTGCCCGGGGCTGAACGCCAAGTGCAGGCTCTCCTGAGCAAGTATGGTCTGGGAAAGCTGTACCAGGTGACAAGCAACATCAGTGGGGCTGGGGCTCTGGACCTGACACTGCCTCGGGGTCACATCGTGGCCCTCCTTCAAAACAAGGACACCAAAGGCAACAGTGGCCGTTGGCTGGTGGACACCGGAGGTAAGTAGGACTTTGTGAGCCCTTCCCCTACTCAGGGAAAACCTCCCAATGGGAGCCAGTGGGGAGACACAGCACTCTTGTAGGCCAAAGTCTAGCTGAGCAAAGACAGGATGAGAACGAACACAGGTGAACGTGGAGGGCTTAGGGTGCAGCTGGCTTAGTGTGTTGCACGAAATGACCAAAAAGAAATTTAGTCTTACGTTGCAACATCTGTCATCGAGCACCTATTATGTGCTGGGCGCTGTGTAAGGAAGACAAAGACCATACCTTGGGGACCTCATAGATCGTTGGTGTAGACAGAGATATGGGGAAAGAACTTCAGCATCACCTTGAAAGATGGAGATATGCAGAAAAAGGATGTTTGGATCTCTGCTGTGTGGACAGACATCTGATTTCCAGAATGAGGGAGGTGTCATCCTGCCCCCTCTGCACTGGTCACACCCCTGGGTATGCTGCTCAGGGTCCCAGGAGGGAGCAGGTCTGGAGGCAAGGGGTACCATGAACCCAAGAGAAGGTGGCCCAGCAGAGTGTCTTCCACAGAGGGGCATGTGACCCACAAGATGAAGGCTACACAGGATTATTGGGAGGGGGTCTACAGATAGTTTTTCACCCTTCAGACAGTTTATTATAATTCAGTACTTTAATGTGTATTAGAAAAAATATAACTAGTACAGAAACACCTGATTTTATTCACAATTATATTGTACAACACTAAGTTTTAAAAAGTAAGCTTATTAAAAAATTAAGAAGATGATACAAATCTGACAAAAATCATGAAAAACAGTCTCCTGACTCAAGTTGAAAAATAGCTGAATGGGATGAAAACAAAGCCCCTGGGGTCATGAGGACCAGGTTTGGCTCCCAACTCCAGCATTTTACTGACTACGTGATCCTGGAGGAGTTATGGAGCCTCTCTGAGCTCGGTTGGCTTGGCCATAAAATGGAGATAACAATTCTAATCTCGAGAGTTGATGTGAAGACTGGATAATCAGATGCCTGTTTTGGTACTGAGCAAGCCCTGGAGAAGTGACGGCCATTCACGTTGACAGCAGTTAGAACACTAGTGGAATAGCTCCTACAGGAGACGGAGCTGGGAGCACTTGGAGAAGAGAAGGGCAGTTTCTGCCTCCTGGGAAAGGCTGTCCTGGGGTGAGGAAGCAGCACTGGTTGGAAAGGGGACCCGTGGTGCCAGCACCAGGAAAATAGTTTCCCCACCAGTCTGAGGAAGAACTTTTTATCTCTGCCAGAGCTGTTCAAAATGGTGTGGGCTGCCTCTGCAGGGGATGAGCTCCCTGTCACTGGGGATGAGCAAGCAAAAGCTGGAAACAGTGAGTGTGGGGTGGAGTGGGTAGGTTTGTGAAGTTCCTAGATGACCTCTTGAGGTCCACTTTAGTGCAAGAAGCTATATTGGAAGTAGTCATGTCCATGAATGATAGTGACTTCCTCTACCACTAAAAGGAATGGGGAAGGCGATCTGCAGCCAGATAATGTTCTGCATGTCCTACAGGACATCGAGGGTACGTGCCAGCTGGGAAACTGGAGCTGTACCGTGTGGTCCCCAGTGAGGAAGACCTCAGAGGGCAAACAAGGCCTCACGAGAACTCCCGACATCTGACACCAGAGCCCACCCCAGCCCCAGTCCCCTCTGTCCCAACCATGACCCAGGTGAGTCTGGGAGAGGGGTGGGGGTCATGGCCACCTGGACTAGGGCTTTGATTTTCCTCCTGTCTGGGGGAGCTACCACTCTGTGAGGCCAGGGTCTGATCATCCCTGCCATGTCAACAGCAGAGAGCTGACCCCTCGCTCCCTATCAGCAGAGCAAGTAGGATTCATTTGTTCATTCATTCATGCATTCATTCCTGCATTCAATATTCACAGGCACTGTGCTAGATGAATGATAAAAATGATGAAAAGACAACCTTGGCCCTTGCCTTCCTCAAATTTATAATCTGGGGATGGGGAAAACAGCAATTAATAATCATATGAATAAAGGTGTCGCTCAACCTCCTGTTTCTCCTCCAAGCTGGGAAACTGACCTGGGCAGATGACACCCTTTGATCTGGGGAGGGAGTACCGATTCCTCTGCTCAGTGAGATGGCAGCAGTGGACTGAGAGCCCCCCTTCTGACCTTCTGAGGTCAGACAGGCCTGGCTGCCCTGCTGTGTGATTTCATTTGAATAAGTTCCTTGACTTCTCTGAGTCTCAATTTCCTTTTCTGAAAAATGGGGCAAATGGAATTGCAGAATTGTGGAAATCAAAACCAGGCAGAGAGCATGCCACATAGTAGGTATTAGTGGAAGCAGTGGGAGTAGCCATTGTCTTTGGACAGAGGATGTATGTGGGAGGCGATGACTGCCCAGCAATCAGAACTGAAGCGAGGGGTGGGGGTGGGGGAAGGGAAGAGGATAAATAGCTTCTCTGGTTCAGTTTGTTTGTCCTCCCACCCTGACCACTTCTGTGTCACTCTCCATGTGTTTCAGGTGGTGGCAGTGTATCCCTTTGTGGCCAGAAGCAGCCATGAAGTGAGTCTACAGGCAGGCCAGCGGGTGACTGTCCTGGAGGCCCAGGACAAGAAGGGGAACCCAGAATGGAGCCTTGTGGAAGTGAACGGACAGAGGGGCTACGTACCTTCCAGCTTCCTTGCCAGGGCCCCAAGCCCAGCTCCGTGGGGCTGGAGTCTGCCCTCTTAGGGTTCCCTCCTTGGAGCCCATGTTCCAAGAGGCTTAGAGGCTGTGACCCCAAAAGGGTAAAGCAAAGAGAAGGCAGAGGTTTAAGGAGAGATCAAGCCACGGTGGGGTGAAGGGCACCCAGAAAGCAGCCAGAAGAGGTGGGTGGGCCTTACAGAGTGCCTGGCGTGGGCATGAAGTGCTCCCATCAGGACAGCTCATTCTGTCTGCGTGAAGAGGGTGTTCCAACCTGGAGTCACAGCACCCTGGGTGCCAGGTCACAGCCGATCGGCTAGGACTTGCTATAGCCTATGGCCAGTCTTACCTGTGCCCATGTCTGGGCATGCCCACAGGAGTGGGTCATCCAGGTGAACATAACCTGTGTGCTGTATGGTTACAGGGAGGGGCCCTGGAGAGTCCAGAACTGCCTGGCCTGACAGTATACTTCCTACCTGTCCTCAGATACCTGAGCTTTTATTTTTCCATGCTGGGAGCTGAGTTATCATGGGCAGTAAACCCCTGACAACCCTCTCTAGTTGGGATCGAGGGCTTGTTGGGCAGTTGAGGGGTTCTCAGGAGGCTCTTGGCTGGGCCAGGGAGTGGGTGTGAGCAAGTCACAGTTCTGGAATGCGTGTAGGCAAATGCAGAGGCTGTTCCAAGGAAGAGGGAATTTTCCAGGTGTGTCAGATGGGATGTACCCTGCTGCTGGGTTCTCTGGACTAGGGGACAAGGGGGCATGCAAATCACAGAGGAAACTCTGTGAAGCAGGTAATTAAAGGCCTGGTGGGTGGGTAATGACTTGGTTTCCTGTTTCTGGAAGAAGGGGAGGCCAGGGGAACCCCCGGTGGTTTCAGGAGGCTGCTGAGGGCCTTGAGGCAACAGTGGAGGTTACGTTAGTTGGCTGCAGGACCTCAGACATAGGGCGCAACCTCAGTTTTCCCATCCATAAAGTTCGTACTCACAGGCTTGTGGTGAGAATGCCATCATACAAAGGATGTGGAAGCTCCTTGCAAATCGTGAAGTGTGATATAAATGTAAATTGCCAGGGGTAGCAGGATGTGCCAGAAGTGGTCTCAGGATGTCCCCAGCCATCAGTTGACCATTCCCCATGCCCATGGCCAAGGCCAACATTGTTAATCAATGTGGTAGCCTTTCCCATAAACCAAGGATCTCTCTCAGTGCTGCATGCTAGGTCACCAGACTCTTAAACTTCGTGAGGTCAAACTTACTGTCATCCTTTTCTAGAACCTAGAAAGCAAAGCCCCTCAAAACAGTTCTTTTTCAAGGAAGACTGACTCGGTGGGGAAAATTTGAGTGCAGCCACTGTTGGATCATTATCTCTAGGTTGTCTCTTTGGGCTCAGATAAATTGCAGGATTCATAGGAGAGGGAAAAGTTGTCCAGTGTGACTTTAAAAACCAATTACAAATTTCGGAACCAATCCAAGTTAGAGTACGTGTGAAAACAGGTGGCAATTTAGATTTAATTCCAAGAACATCTCTGTATTATTATAACTGTAGTGCCTAAAACTGTTAGCTCTGGTGTTTGGAGAGCCTTTAAGAAGTGTATACATGTCTGTGTCAGACAGTCTGTAACTTACCTCCTCTGGGCTTGTGAAAGCGTGAAGGCTGCATACATAATGCAGGAGAAACTCAGTCCCCACAATCCCTCTCCCAGGACCAAATTCACTCTCTAAAATGCTCGTGACTCATTTTCCTTTGTCTTTCCTGCTCAGATTTCTGATAAAAATAGGAAACACAGGGGAGCAGATAATAAAATAGGAAGTCCAGCCATGGTTCCACAATACTTACAAGAGCCTTCTGTGTGCTAGTACCCTAGCTTGGGGTCTTCTCAACGTGGCTGCCCACAGCAGTCACCAGGACAGCTTTCAACTAGGACTGAGGCCAGGATCCCACCCAGAGATGCTGTTATAATTGGTCTGAGGTGTGGCCCAGGCCTCAGGAATTCAGAAAGCTCCCCAAGTATTTCTAGTGTGTGGCCAGGGTTGGCGACCTCTGCCCTAGACACACAGTGGTGGGCAAGACAGACCTGGGGTCAGAAATGGCCACAAGCTGTGAGCTAGGGTGTGCCCCAGCTGGTCTTTGTACTTGCTCACATGTTTCAGACAGGCAGCTTGAGAGGTGGTTTGAAATAGGACAGCCTGTCCTGTCAGATCCCAGAATGTATATTTATTAAGTGCCATTAAAAGGGGCCTGAACAAAATTGGATGTTCTTGTAGGTATAAGGGAGAAAACTGAAATAACTTGGAACCAAATCTATCTCATGAAGGGAAAATAAAAATGTATTCAGTAGCACATGGGTTATGGTTTCTCATACATCAGGGGATGAGATTAAAAATTACTGAAGGGTGAGAAAATGCATATTGAGAAGATGGAGAATGGCCTGAATTTTCTCCAGGGGACTCTGTGTAATGTGCCTTTCTTTCCCCCCAAATGCCTAGAACCATTCCACTGTGTCTTATTTATTTCAGTGCTGGGCTGTCACATACTAGACTTGCTAAGATGTTTGCCTGTGAATTGAACAAGACTTTCAGGAACTGAAGACAGATTCACAAGGGTGCTCCTTGCTCCCTGCAATGGAGTGAGACTTCTTTAATCTTTTGGGCCCCAGCCTAGTTTTAGACTTGAGGACAAGATTACAATATCAAAGGAAAGATGAGTGAATTCTTGGTTAATATGTTAGACTCTAGCTTGGTGAGTAACTGATGTGAACTACTGGGAATAAAGGGCTTCAAAGATGAAAATGTTTCTGGAATGTGTATGACTCTAACCATTGTATAGTCACATGCCACAGTGTAATGTTTGTTCATTGGACACTTGCTATGCATAAAAATGGCACCTCATTCATTCATGTGTTCATTTAATGAGTATCTACTGTATATCTCTGGTGCCTCTAGGAGTTGGCCTTAGCTGCCAAGGCTGCAGTGAAACATCAGACAGACCAGGGCTGTGCCGTTTCAAAGCCCACAGTCTGATGAGGGAGGCAGACAAGGCAACAGTCAGTGACACGCAGTGTAAGTGTTAGGGTAGCAACAGGCGCCATCATAGTCCAGGAGAGGGACCAGCTCCTGACTCAGACCTGGTGGCTAAGGAGGGCTTCCTGGAAGAAGTGATAGCCAAACTGAGGCCTGATGGGCAGGTTAGATGAAGGTGGGAGGGAGGGCACATGCAAAGGCCCAGAGGTTAGAGCAAGGCTTGTCAGGGAACTGAAACTGTAGAGTTGGAACACGGTGTGTGTAGGGGTGGTGGGTGCAGTGGGAAATGGCTTAACAAAGTCTGCCTGGTAAGGAGCTTTGGATTTTATTCTGAGGGCAGTGGAAGTGGGGCACTAAAGGGTTTGAAGCAGAGGAGTGACATACCCAGGGTTGTATTTTAGGATGCAAGTTCTGGTTCATTCCAGAATCTTCCGAGGTATGTGCCTCAAGAAATAAATGTTCAATACATATTGCTCAGATAAATAGCACAGAGGACATGGGACACCAAAGCCTGCCACCAAGGAATCTCCCGTCCAGCTGTAAAAGACATATGAGTATCAGGCAGTTACCTGGCACTGGATGGCAGAATGCTGTCAGTCCCAGAAGAATGCAATGGAGCAGGCTTATAGGTGCTCAGACAAGGAGGAGCTTTGGAGTCACTGAGGTGGTCAGGGAGGCTTCCTGGAGGAAGCAGGGCAGGTGCTGGCCTTGTGGGATAGGTAGGATTGGGGAAAGCAAAAAGGAAGTGAGGTCTTCTCAGGCCTGGGGAGGCAGTGTAGTGGTGTGAGAAGTGCCCAGTGCTCAGCCTTAGAACCCCTAAGCTCAAGGCCTACTTGGCCATAGGCATGTTGAAAACTCATTTATCATAGTTTCTGCATGTGAGGAAGTTTGGTGAACCCCAAAGCCTTCCCTGTCTTCCCCAGCTGGCCCCAAAGTACTCACTGTGGAGTTCTAGCTTATCTTAAGGAGTCCTTGGCTTCCTCCACCAGGACCTACCTTCCATTTTGGAAGAGTCATTTTAGGGCTTGTTGTGGCAGGACAGAGACTCAGATACCTGGACTAGGGGTGAGGAAAGAGCTGGATGCCACTCCTGACAACATCCCAAGGAGCTTGCATCCTGAACAATCTGTTCACTTAACCTTGCTCTTCTCTATTACTGGTAATTTCTGAACTTCCCTTTTCTGTTTTCTTATCTGTAAAATGGGTCCAATTCCTCTTCTCACAGGGTGAGTAAGAAGATTAAATAAAACACTTGATGTGAACAGTTGTGGGTGACAACCGGAGCATCCATGCTGTGTAGTGAGGGAACATGTGAGCTGTGACCACTAGGTGGCAGCAGGGCTTTGCCCATCTGCTGAGAGAGGGCTGGGAGGTGTCACCCGGTCAAACTGAAATGCCTGCGGTGCTAGGCTGGTGGTGCAGATGAGAGGAAGGGCCAGGTGAAAGACGTTAGGGAGTGGTGGGGACTGTGTTGGACCAGAGCGTACATACTTAATCAAAAGGACCTTGCAACTTCTTGGCTTCAACCAATGTTGCCACATCAGAATGAGGGCCCAGGAGGGCCAGACTGATTTTTCAAGAGAAGCCAGAAACCAGGGTTTTGTTTGTTTTTATTTTTGGTGTGAAATCTGTATGGAGATTGGGCCACAGCAGGCCCCCTCTTTGCATCTTCTGCCAGAGTGTATGTTGACTGTCCTGATGAAGAATCCCTTGTGAAGAATTAGCTTCATATCTTTATATACCCTGTGAAATGCCTTCATGTGTCTTCACTTCACTTACTACTTCATCAGACATTAACTTCCCTTTCTTGGGTCTCTGGGAAACACTGTTTCCTTTTAAGCTACTGTTTCTATTGTTGTCCTCAAACTTTTATTAGATTGTGGGCCTTATTTTATGACCCACTCACGAGGGTCTCCACAGTACTTATCTCACAAGGTTCTTTTGAGGATTAAATGAGATACTGATATAATTATCACTTAGCCCAGCACCTGGCTTATTAGTATTCATTATTGTGGGTTCTTTAGGAGAAAAGGCATGACATTTGGAGGAAGGTTTGCAGGGCCTGTCTTTCTCTATATATATAGGTTGGTGACAAGGCCTGGCCACTCCCTTATGTACATGGAGCCCCCTGGACCCTGCTCCTAAGAGCCTGGTGGAGGTTGGATATAGCCCTTTCCTCAGAGGCTGCTGCTGCCCCTCAAAGGCATTCCTGGGACTCTCCCTTCTCTGTCATCTGTGGTGCTGCAGCTGGGTCAGGGTGGGCAGGTTTACCATCTAGGGCAATCGCAATCATGGGCGTGAACGACCCAGATTCTCCTTCTTGTTTCCAGCGATAGGGGTTTCTGCGGTCCACTGCACCGGGCTAGTCAGGCAGGTACTCAGGCAATAACCAGGCACACGGATGCACTGGAGCAGCAATCCTGCTCATAGGCTCAGGGCCCTTTGCAGCCAGGAGCATCTTCTCAGGGTGTTCCAAGGGGACCTGGCAGATTTGGGAAGAAAGAAAAGTGGGGACCAGATTTGTCCTGTTGGGCTCTGCCTTATGGCTGGGCTGAGAAGCACCAGCTGATGCTGTTCAGTTAGGTCTCAGGCAGCCTGCATGCTTCCAGGACACCTCAGGGTGGTTCTGGGTTCCCTGTCTTAGGCCCATTTGCCTGTCGTCAGGTGTCTGGGCATCCTTGAGGCCTGTGAATGGAAAGAGAGCTCTGCACAGTGGCTGCAGGTTAGATACGGCCCTGAGCCCCAGGAAGATTGGACCAGAGTGGGTGAAAAAGTTGCAACCACCCCTTGTGAGCAGTTCCTATCTCAGAGTTTGGTTATTTGCTTGCTTGCTCTCACTTATTCCCTTCCCTGCGCAGCTCTGTGCTACAGGGAACTACGTTTCCCAGGCTCCTTTGTCCTCTGGTTTTCTGGTGGGTTTGGCCAGTGGGAGGCACTGAAGGGAGGGAGAAGGGGAGAACTCAAGGTATTTCTCCCTCTCTCTGCTTCAGGCAGCATCTCTGCCTTGGCTGGTCTCCTCCATGGTTCCAGCTTCCACTGGATGGCCCTTCCCTCTTGGACTTAGGTCCCGTAGGACAGGCCTGGCTGTGCTTCCAGTTTTTGTCAGGGAGTTTCAGATACTGCGCACTAATAACACTGCCTCTTCCCTCTGTCCCTCCAGCCTGAGGACTGGAGTGTCTTTGCTATTGTTAATCCCTGGGGTGCTTCTCGGGTCTTCTTTCACCAGTGTAACCTCTTCCCTATATTAAAATCCCTTTGTTCACAAGGCTTGGAATGGTTCTTTCTGACTGGGCAGTGACTGTTGTGTGGCTCAGCAGCGAGGCATGCAGGGAGGGACTGGGTAGTGGAGCTAGAGCGGGCTCCGGGATACCCCTGCCCCTCAGGCTTCCTAGCCTTCAGAGAAGATGGGGACCATCACAGGTCTGCTGCACCTTCCCTGGGTCAGGGAACAGTCTGGTCCTCCCCACCTGAACTCTTGTGTCTTCAGCTGCACACAGCAGCTGAATGGGACACATTCCAGGGTCAGTGGCCGTGAGAATCTGCTGAGCTGCCCTTGTTTTGGTCGGCTCTGTCTATTGCTGTAGGGCCCAGAGAAGACAGCAGAGGAGACCCAAGGGATGCCATGTGAGAGCAGAGCCAGACTAGTGGGCAAGAGGAAAGGGTTACCTTCTTCCAGCCATAGTGCCTTGAAACTGGCCCTGGCTTGGGAGGGCCAGACAGGAAGTGGAGGGGCGGCTTCCAGCCAGAGAAGAGCCTGCTTGTCTTGATTCTGGGGTCTCCGTGATTCCAGGAACATCAGCAGAGTCTCTGGCCTGGGGAAAGGCCGGTGCACTAATAACAATCACCACAGTTTCCACTTCTCACAGGGTTGTTTGAGGGTTATGTGAGGGAATCTACTTTACATGATTAATCCAGTGCTGGCACATAGGAAGCTCTTAGGAGCTGGAAGCTTAAAAAAAAAATTTTAAAAACCCCATAAGACTTAACAGCAACCAGCCACTGTGGACCTTATTCTGTTGCACTTCAAGGGCCAAGCTGGTGTTGTAGTTAGCATTGACCCCAGGCCTCCCCTAGAGCAGGACTAGGGCTCACAGCACAGATCCAGTGCCAGGGCTAGGAAGAGGGTTGAGGCAGGCGAAGGAGTTGCAAGGTTGGGAGGGCATGGTGATCCCAGGGCTCACTCCCCAGGGATGTGGGGGCAGGCAGTGGGTGCCCAGCAGGCAGTTGGAACCCTAAAAGGGCACTTGAGGACAGGTATCTCCTAGGTCCAGGCAGGATAGAAGTTAAGGCCAGGTCAGAAAGTGGGCAGTAGGGCTTAGTTTCTGGGTTGAGGTTCAAGTACCATGCCCAGGGGACTTGGGGAAGAGGTCCACTAAAGATACAGAGATCCTGGCAGGAGGCAGGATTGAGAGCTGGGCACAAGGTTGGTGTCCAGCTTTCAGCACCAGGGACTTCATTTTGAGCTCTAGGGGCTGGTCTAGAACTGCTTGAAACCCTCCCATCCGAGAACAAGATTGAACCTAGAGAGCAAGGTGGGCTGGACCTGAGAGAGAGTCTGGAATGAAGAGGCTGTGCTGGTCAGGAGCCCAGGCTTCACACTGCAAAACGCCTGAATTCAAATCCTGACTCCACACTTACCAGCTGTGTCACCTCGTTGAACAAGTTATTTCATCTCTCTAAAACCTCACTCTCCTCTTTGTGGGTAAACCAGGATATAGTCCCACCTCAAAGGGCTGTTGGGATGTTGAAATGGGATCAGGCACGGAAGTCTTCGGCCCCGTATCTGGAAAGTATGAGCGCTGCTTAGATGATTGATCCTCAAGGAGCCAATCAGTTTGGCTGTCCCGCCCCCTCCGAGGGGGTCCTCCCAAGCCTTGCCGGCGGTGACCCCCAGCCCGAGTCTTCTCTGGGCTAAGGCTCCTCGGACCTTCAGCCTTTGCTCTAGTGTCTGTGTTCCTGACCCTTCACCACCTCAGGCTCTGAAAAAATACCCCCTCAGTGCGTGAGCTGGTTCCAGACTGAAAGCAAGTGGATGTCTTAAGAGGCCAAAGGCTGCTCCCCCGGGACCGTCGCAGCCACCACGTCCTCAGAGCCTCTCTGGCGCTTAGAGCCGCCATCTTGAGTTACTCCCTTCGCTCGGGAGGCGTCCTCACGGCCCGGGCAGAGCGGCGGAGGGTCGCCTTGCAGGTGCGGCCTGCGTTTGTGAGTATACCTTCCCCCCTGCGTTCCTCCCCCACCCCCCGCCCCCGCCACATTTCTAAGTGTTTTTCCTTTCAAATTCTTTTCACCCTTTCCCCATTCCTCACCAGAAGCTGAGGCAGAACGGCAAACAAACATCCAATAAAAGTACAAACACGGCGACACACAGGCACAACTGGAAAAAGCCCAACAACTGCCTGCCCTTCACACCACCCCCCTGGCCTCCTCCCAGAGATTCCGAGCTAGGACCTCCTCTTAGGAGTCACGGTCCCCACCCCCACCTGGAGGAGCACAGCCACCAGCCAAAATCATTCGGTCCAGACGGTCCAGACTCAGTTTTGTCCTGTGTATTGTAACTATAGGGTGCCTTTTGTTTTTCTTAACATATTACAATATCTACATAATGCATTATTTTTAATAAAAGTGAACAAGGAATTTGAATTCTATCCCTTCCTCCCTCAAGATTCTGTCCTGGTTCTCTAGCCTCCTGTAAGGGGCAGCGCCACCAATCCCTGATTTGCAACCGCGACCCCAAAGGCACTCTGCCCGCCATCTTCTCTCAGTAAACGGCGCCCTCACACACTACATTGTTCATGCCAAAGACCTGGGATTCGCTCTACTTCCTCTCAGCCCTGCATAGTCGGTCCTTCAGTCACCTTTACTGCCGAAACCTTCCCAGTCCACCTCTCCGCTCTCCACCACATTCACTCCAGGTGAAGAGCCTCTTCTCTCACCTGGGCTCCTGCAGGAGCCTCCTGACAGTCTCTGGGTTCCCGCCCTGTCCTTCACCCTCACCCAGTCTCCATAGAACAAAATGATTCTTCGAAAAAGTAAATTAGAGACTGTCACACCTCTGCTTAAAACTGAACAAACCCCAAATTCCTTACGGGTCCTTGCCTCCCTCTCACCACATCATGTACCCCCCTCCCCCTTGACCAGGGTGCTACAGCCAACTCTGGTTTCCTCTTTCTAGTTCTCAATGATTCTGAGCGCATTCCTAACTCAAGGACTCGGCCTTGGCCTTTTCCTTCCGTGGGACTCTCTTCCCCCAGATCTGCCCATAGCTGGCTTCTTGCCACACAGGCCTGCTCCTCAGTGAGGCCCTCGCTGACCGCTCCATCTGGGTAGCCTCCAGCCCTCCCTGCCATGACCCCAGTCACTCACTAGCCATCACTCTGTCTTACTGTCATTATAGACTTTGCTACGTCCTCTTATTTTCTTATTTGTTTGTTGTCTGATTCCCTCATTAGAATCCTCAAAGGTAGGGGTTTTATCTATCTTAATCCTAAATCCAGATAATCTTTAGTGTGTCCCAAATGACAAGTGCTTACACTAAAAAATTATTCATGGTTTATCTGAAACTCAAATTTAACTAGATGCCCTGTATTTTACCTGGCAACTCTACTTGAGGCCCGTGACCCCACATCTTGGGAACATGGTCTCAAGTTTGGGATCAAGCCGGCATGTGAAGAGAGAAAATGAGATCGGGGGGAGAGAGAGAGAGGACAAGACAGCAATAGAGAATGAACGAGACATAGAATGACATAGAGAGTCACAGGTAGACCAGTAGACACCCTCTGATAGAGTGTTCAGTGACCCAAAGTCAGCTCCACCCCTGTCCTTTCTGTAGTTTGTTTACAGGCACCAACAAATTCCCCTTTCTCTTCAAAATAATGGCCAACATTCTTGAGCACTTATGTGTGCCAGGCACTGGGCCAAGCTCTGGATGCACTGTCTCATTTAGGCTGTCACCTCCCACGATTCTATGCGGGTGTGACTGTCATTCCCTCCACAGAGGAAGAACCAAGGAATAGAAGAGTTAAATAACGTGCTCAAGTTCACACAGACTCTAAGCAGCAGAGCTGGGTTTCAAACTCAGGTAGTCAGATGCCAGAGTGCACAACCACTGTGTGGAGTAGCTGTCACTTTAACCAAGGGGGTCTTGAGTGGCTCAGGTAGAGCAGACACTGGACTACTGACCCCAGATCCTCAAGAGGCAGGATGGCATCATACATGAGCTCAGGAGCCAGACTAGGCAGAATCAAATCCACCTTCCCTCACCCCTGGCGTGACTTTGGGAAAGTTCTCCACCTACTCTGAGCCTCAGCTTCCTCTTCTGTAGAATGGAGTTGACAGTATTGGTAGCTACAGCACAGGATTGATACGGGGATTTAATTAATTAGTGTCTATACACACACTCATAAAAAGCCATTAGATCAGATAAGCATTTAATAAATACTTAACAGATTTTTAAAAAATTATTTTCTGCTCATCTCTGATGCCTAGTACAGGATCTGGCACCAAGGAAGTGCTCATGGTACCTGGATGGGTGATGGTAAGAGTAGAGAATATTAAGGAGAATCCTAATGATTGTTTATTCAGCACCTACCATGCACCAAGCATTATGCTTAAGCACCTTACGCACATCTTCTCAGTCAGTCCCCACAACAGCCCTGCCAAGTTGGTGTTGTCATTCTCATTTTGCAGATAAGGTAACAGAGGCTTCAAGAAGTCAAGTGACCAGAAAGGCCACAGAGAGGGGTCCAGAGCAAGGATATTAACCCTGGTTTTAAAGGAAAGAACACTGACTCTGTGATTACTTTAATGAAGGCAGGAAACTGGCAGATTGTATTGAGAGTTTTCCTGTGGACTGACCTTTGGGTTCTTGCCATTCTCATCACAAGCTCCTTCATGTTCCTTGCAAATAGCCCATGCGCGTGGTTTTCTACGCCCTGTTATCTCATTAGGTGGGTATAGAGTCCCATTTTATGAAGGAAGGGCAAAGAGGTACAGGTACTTGCTGAAGGTCACGTGGGTGTTAAGAGCAGAGCAGGTCGGAACCCAACTTCATCTGACTCCCAATCCAGTCTTTGTCCCCTGTACTCAACCTCTGACCTACAGAGAGCCCCCACAGAGCATGCCATCCCTCAGATCTCCTAGAGACACCCCCTTTTCACCACCTCCACTGCCAGGGAACACCCGGGCTGGGGCTCCATGAGCACTCACCTGCCCTCTTCAGCCTCCAACTGCGTCTCCTGCCTCCAGTCCTGCCTGCCTTCTGGTCTTCACAAGGCCACCACCAAGGTCAGCTTTCAGAAATGAGATCTGAATCCAGGGCTCTTGGAGGTCCTTCCAGGGTTCTTGACCGTGGCTTCATGGTCTGGGCCCTGTTTATCTCTTCCCCTCCTTGAACTCTGTGCTCTGGCTGAGCTGAATCTATTTTTGCTCTCTCTGGCCTCCTTTGTACACACTCTTTCACCAGGGTGGTACGCCCTTTCCCACTTCCTTCTCACTTTTTTTTTTTTGACTAGCCAGGAATCTTTTATTTATTTACTTATGAAAGTATAGTCAGTTACAATGTGTCAATTTCTGGTGTGCAGCATAATGTTTCAGTCATACATATACATACATATATTTGTTTTCATATTCTTTTTCATTATAGGTTACTACAAGATATTGAATACAGTTCCTCGTGCTGTACAGAAGAAACTTGTTATCTGTTTTATATATACTAGTTAATATTTGCAAATCTCAAACTCCCAATTTATGCCCCACCCCTTCTCACTCTTGCTAAATCATCCTTCAAGTCTCAGTGGCATGTCGCTTCTTCCAGGAAGCCTTCCTTGCTAGGTTCAGGTGCTTTTCCTGTGTGTGCCTCTCCTCGGGTCCTTCTCCCTCTCTTTTGAAATTGCCCTTTTATTTGAAGTTTTCTCCCATTGAATTAGCTCCAAGAGGATAGGAGCTCTGTCTGCCTGTTCATACTGCATCCCCAGAGCCTAGTATGGTATTGGGTACTTAGTAGGTGCTCAGTGAAAAGCTGGTGAATGAATGAGTGTTCCCTGAGGACAGTATTTTATTACACTGAGCACCAGGCTCAGTTTGCTTGCGCATAGTAGGCTCCCAGTACATATCTGTTGAATAGATGATGGATGAATAAATGAATAAACATGGTTCAACCCTCTCCTTCAACACACACACATTGTATTTGCTCACCCCTCAGCTTTGGTCTCTTGCAGAATAAAAGGGATCCCAGCTCCTTGTTTGAATGCTGTGGGGTTTGAGTAGAAAAAAATACTGCTCCTTCAATAAGAAGAGCTTCAGGCGATAGAGGCCTTTCTTGCTGGTGAAGGGAGGAGGGAGAGTTGGGGCCTCAGCCCAGTTTCAGGATGGCCTCAGTTGGCCCCAGACTGACTAATAAAGTGTGAAATTGACTTCACCCTCCGCACGTCTCCCCAGCCAGTGTGTCCCTTTAGCATCTCCCTCTGCTACAACGGATGCAGTGCTGCCGCCATCCCCTCTGTCACTGGCAGACAGGCGGGTCATCAACGCCCACGCAGCCCCAGGGCCCAGCGCTCTGCAGAACCCGTGAAGCCATTTGGCTTTGGGCCAGTATGGGCTTTCAAAGCCAGAAGCATCCGATGTGGCATGTCTGACGCACCTTCTAAGTCATCCACTGGCCCCTCCTGCCCCTGTGTACTCCTCTGATGCTGGCTGCTGAGGCACGGGCAGAGGTTGGAAGCGGGGACAGCATTAGGGGAGCTCTTTGAGACTTCCCTCCCACTCCACCCTTTCTGTTGCACCAAATGCAGGACTGGAGAATCAGAGCAAAAGGGACCTCGGAGAGCAAGGAAATCAGGGAGCTCATAGGAGCCTCTGGGGGGCCTTCGGGACTGCTGGGGGGGTGATGGGGGCCCCGAAACCCCTCCTTCCCCTGGGATAGGGCCAATTTTAGATCTGTTTTAAGATTTCCTAGGAAGAAAGGGATTCCATGGCTCTAATAAGTCCCCAAACCAGTGATCTGTCCAGCAGTCATTCCCAAACCTGTCAGAATCAACTGAGTGACGGTAAAAAATAAGGATTCTGAGACCTGTAGTGTGTTAATCAGCTCAGCACCCATTTCCTTGTCTTCTGAGGAGAGCCCCTATATTACCTCAGAGAGCTGTCCTTGCCCCCAAGAACTCCATGTGGTTCTGGCGGTGTCTAGGGGCAAGCACATTACCCAG